ATAACAATAATGAAAGCAATGATATTATCTGTAAATAATAAATAAAAATATAATTAATTAAGTATATTAATTGTTTGAATGTGTTTTGAATAAGACATAAGCACTCACTTCATAACATCTAAAGTAATTAATAGTAAATAATTTCCAACACGAAAAGCCAATCCTTTTATCAGCCATTCTCTCAATCATTATATTTAGCTGTAATTGTAATTAAAATTTGTTTTTATAAATAACTATTTAGTATTGAAGTGACCCTACCTTAAGTTTTGTATTAAATTTTATTGACTTATTTAATGATACAAATACTGATGAAAATATTTTATACGATTTATTCAATTCATAATTTACTTGCGAAGCCGTGAATATAATAGTGAGAAAACAGAGTAGAAATAAAATGAATGCGAAAAACAATGAGATTTTGTATATAATATGAAAGTGAACGAAGAAAACCATATAAAGCAAAAATATAACCAGAAATCCAAACGATAACCAAAATAATAACAAAAATTTTGAAAAATATGTTGAATTATATTCAGTAATCTCTTGATATAACAAATCATAAGAGTTTAATAATTTTTCAATATATCGGCATTTATTGCAAAGCTTAACAGACCGACAAAAACATATGGATTTTTCATTAATTGCTTTGATTTTCAAGTTTAAATAATAACAAACTAGGTAAAAATGAGCGAATTGATAGAGTCCTATGTTATACGTAGAGTAACAAACAAATACAAATAATACAGTATTAGGCAATCCATAGACCAATGTTTGCCAAATACTGCAATTCACAAAATATGTAAAAATCATGACATCGGAGCTAAATATGGGAATCAATATTTGGTTATTAAGTTGAATGACTTTAAACAATATTTTAGTCCTATTTATGAGACCAATAATTTGCAACTTATTTGTCAAACCAATAGACTTAGGAGACCGACGGCCAGACATTACTCGAAATACATTGAGAAAAGTTGGTTTCATTTGTTGCCTATAGTTATAATAATATAGAAGTTGTAAACCGATTATAAAACTGATACCAATGTCCATAAGTATATCGTAATGCACTCTTATGCCAATAAAATGTCCAAAATCTCCCAGTTCAATAAACGTTTGCTTTTCATTAGCAAATAATAGATATGTATTTTTAATGAAATACACGACTAATGCTATGAATATAACGATAGGATTGTGTATAATATAGCGTTTGGTATTTGCATCACAAATATATAGATTTAAACCAATTTTAAATAATTTATTTTCAGCCGATTCTTTCAAATAGTTATCTTTTAAGATTTTATTTGATTTACAAGAATTCATAATTCAATGTAATTTTTAGCTTAATAATATAGATAATAAATATAAAATTATAGTTTTGATTAAAAATAGTTATAATTTGACTAAAATATAAACTTAGATTTGAAAAATAAGAATTACCGTTTTATTATATTTATTGTTAAACATATAAAAGTTTAAATATGATACATAAGTCAAAAATAAATATTAGTGTATTAAAACAAATACTAACACAAGTTAAAACTTAAACATTCATTTGTATTTTGATATAATAAAATACAATTTTAATAATAGATCATCAAACGTAAATTCACCTGTTAAGATACAAATATATTCACCTCGGCCAATTAATGATATAAAGGTCTATGCCCAGTTACTATTAATTACAAATATATTTGATAATTATTGATACGATAATTTAAATAATGATTACATAAAAACAATTCAAGTGCTAAATTAATTATAAATATATCAGTTGTCATTATATCTAAATTTAAATGTATTATATATTTAATATCTGCTATAATAATAACAGAAATAAATATTTTAATATTTTTGTTGCATATAACAGTTAGAAATTGCAAACTAAACGTTAAACTATTCTTACGAATGATAAATAATTTTCACTTATTTTTTGACAATTCAATAATCTTGAGAAATAGCACCGCAAGCAGGGTTATGATCTAAAATTGCAATATATTTATAAGTTATAACAAAATAATAAATATAAGTAAAATGAAAAACATACTTCATAACATTTGAAGTAATTAATGGTAAACAAAGTCCAACACGAAAATCCGATCTTTTTCTCAGCCATTCTCTCAATCATAACCAGAATCTGTTTCATACATCAATTTATAGTACAATTATATTTTTATATTTTATTGACAATCAATTGAAAATAATATTAAGCTAACCTTCATTCTGGTGTGGATCGTTATGTTTTTATTTTCTTTATATTTCTTGATGGACGCCAGTTTGACCCTGCTATCACTAGCCATAATGATTAATAAATTCGTTATATTAGAAAGAAATGGACTGATTTAGCATTAATTCTGTTGTAAATCATATATGTTTACTCGTAACAAATATTAAATACATTTAAAAGTTAAACAAAAATAGTCTGTCGACCTTCAATGTAGTCATTACTATGGATACTAATCATAGACGACACGAATGTTTTTACAATTAAAATAGAAATTTATAATGAATTTGTTTTATTGGATTTTCAGTTTTAAAACTCAAATTATATAGAATTATAGTAAAATACAGTGATAAATGTCATTTATAAATTATTCTAATTGTAACTATAATTTTAAATTGAGAAATACAAGTTTTTTATTTAGATATAAATTAAGTTAATGTCATTATATATGCACACTATTTAGAAATAAATGTTTATAAATTTTATTTTTCAGATATTTCTATTATTTTGAGAAATAGTAATGCAAACAACGATAGAACCTAAACAATAAAATAAAACAAATATTAAATATTGCAATATACTGAGTATATAGGAATAATTAACTTCAAACATTATAAGTAAATATTATGTGAAGTAAGGCAATTGATTTCTAATTAATAAAATCGTTAAAATGAATATTGTTAAATATCTATTTGAAATCATTTTATCATATTAATATAAAATTATGGATTTACTTAAAAATTAAGCTCACTTCATAACATCTGAAGTAATTAACGGTAAATAACTTCCAACACGAAAATCCCTCCCTTTTCACAGACAATCGTTCAATAATTAACAACAACTGTAAATAAATTATATAAAAATTATAAATAGTTTAAATAATAACATAACTTACTTTAAGAGTAGTTAAATGCCACATATCAGTCCTACATTTCTGTTGAGCCTGATAAGCGTTTAATGAATTAAATAATTTAAATAATTTATTTGCCTCAGAGTTAACCGAAGAGGCCGTGAATATAATTAAATTAAATAATAGCGTAAATGTTATAATACATGAACCAAACGATATCTTATATATTATGGGAATTGAAGTAAATATAACGATATACAGAAATATAACAATAAATGATCCGATAGTCAACCAAAATATACAAATAAATTTCGACCAAAATGTTAAATTGTACTGGTCAATCTCTATAAATATCAAATCTAATAATCTCATAATTTTAGATACATTATAAAAATCATGTATATTTATCGCATTCCTTAAACTTTTATTAATGGACTTAATTTTAATTCTAATATAGTAGCAAATGATATAAAAGTAGATAATTTGATATAATGCAAAATTGTATGAGGAATAAATATAAATAATGTAGTAAATAGTGTTGGGAATACCATAAACCAATGTCTCCCAAAGGGTGCAATTCATTACGTATGTAAACAGCATAACATCAGCACTGAGAATAGGAATCGCTATTTCATTATTCATTTTCACAAACTTTAGTAAAACTTTTGACTTTTTAATTAAGTCATTGATTTCTGCGGGATTTGTGAGACCAACTGATTTAGGGGTCACCCGTCCAGACATCATATGAAATACCGAGAGAAAGGTTGGTTTTACACCATTTCGGTAGTTATAATAATAAACTGATTGTGAACTGAGTACCAAAATAAAGGTAACGTTCCACATGATGTCCAAATGCACCCGAACTCCTATGTAATACCAAAAGCCACCAAATATTGTGTATAAATAAGGCATTGAATTGAATAAAATTAGACAAACATTTGTTTTGATTACATTTACAATGAATACTATGAATAGAGTTAAAGGTTTATGAAAGAAGTGCCTGTTTTTGTCACTTTTATGTTCATTAGTGAAACACAAACCAATTCTATACAAGTGACTGTCCGCTGATTTTATAATCAGTTTGTTTGGCAACACTTTATTTACATTTATATCCGACATATTTATATTTATTATATTAAATTAAATATTCTTATGTTTAATAAAAAGGTTTTATTCAAGTAATTCCTTTGATATAAATTTTATTTATAATTTAAAATCAGATACGAGATATTAACTAAAATATTTTTACATTTGTTATTTATAGTGATATGAGTTCATTATAACTTAATTGTCGTTATTCAATTAGCACAATTTATAATTATAGAAATAACCGCAAAATATATGTACTTAAGAGTATTTAAGGGCAACTATAATATACTAATTGCAAATATAATATAATAATATAGCACTAAAATTGCACTAAAGTGCTAAAAATTAATATAGCTCTAAATTAAAAATAATATGACTTTTTCAAATTACCAATCAAATAATATAATTGAATATTTAGAGATTCTAATGATTAAATCAAGAAGTAGGTAAAACTTATCCTTAAGTTTAAAATGTAAATTTTATAGATAATCGCCAAAACATTCAATGAATACCGGAAATCACAAGGAATTTGATTACATATTGTGTCTAATTATATGGATATTAATAGCTTTTATGAAACTCTTTAATAAGAATTATTTAAAATTAAAATCATAGACTTTGCACTGACTTTATAATAAATTGTTTTGATTCTCACACTTAAAAGGAAATTACTTTTTCTAATAAGCAAAACAATTCTCAAATTTCATTGAAAAATATTAAACAAGATGTACTAGTACAATATGAGCAGTGAATAAGTATTTGAGAATTCGCTAGAATGCTGATACAGTAGTATATAAGGATCTAAACCAAACAGACTGAAAGTCTATTGTAAAAGTTGGTCCACAATCCAACACTAATAATGGAATTCAAATTCTTTAGTGTTTGTCTGGTATTCATACCATTAATCCATGGGTTTGGAGACAACCAACACAATGATTGGAATAGGAATGGTCTCAACAAACGGGACTCAATGGAGTGGGCGCCCAATGATGCTCCTAATAATGCCGGACCTAATGTTGGCCATAATGTGGGCCCTAATATAGTACACAATGTGCCATTGCCCCCCAATTGCGACAATAGTAAGTGCTATACTCACTGAAACGTAAATATGATAAACTAAATGAAAACATTTGCATTTTCATTGACAGTTGGGAGACGTGCCGTCAAACGCGAAGTCGACTCCTTTCCAACTCTTGCCAACTATTATATGAATGACTCGTATAGTGATATCAAACTTGGACTCAACAACGATACCAAAATCCCCGCTCATAAACTCATTTTGTCGGCCAAAAGCAAATATTTTGAGAAACTCTTCCTCGAGGATCCATTGAAACAAGAGTTTGATATCCAAGATATGGTCGCATCGGAGGGCGTCTTCA